TGTTTGCAACTTATGTTTATTTATTTATTTTCAATAATTTTCATTGCAAATATAATTCAACCTACTTTTAACATAAACCCCATAAATAAAAGTTTAAAAGCTGACACAAATTTCTCAAATTTTAATCCAACAAAAATTAATCGGTTGTAGATTGAATTATAATTGCAATGAAAATTATTGAAAATAAATAAATAAACATAAGTTGCAAACAATATCATTTGGAATTTTGGTGCTAAATTTTGGTGCTTTTTAACAGTACGTCAATAAATCGGAAATGCTTGCTCAAAACACTTTGTTGCGGGAATGCAAGGTCGCAATAAAGAACGTCCAGCGATCAGTCTGTCTGATGACTGGAGAAGAAAAAGATGACGCGCTTGACGAAGTGGCAAGAATGCTGCCTTTGAATACCGTCGAATCTGTGTTCGAGATTGAGGAAAAACTCAAAGAACCTCAATTCGCGCAAGCTACGGTAAAAAATAATACGTATAATAAACTTTATAACTTCTATGTAATACTAATATATTTTTTCTGTATGGTTATTTTACACAGACAACTTATTGCCATAAGCTTAAGGGGACTTCGCAGGATGTGGATGGCGTCATCCGAAACATTCTTACGGACAATCTCCTTGAGTCATTTAACTGGGACGGGAGGGGAGACAAACGAGCTCTGGCGAAACTTACTTTATTTGAAAAAGTATTGAGGGGTAAAAAAATGCTAATAACAATAAGTCGAAGTAATTTTTAAATAAATTTTCTTTTTTATATAGGCGTTTTTCAATTGCATGGTGCCTTCGAGTATGAAAAAGATGTGCGAAAGGCTGTGGAGAAGAGTCACCACCGAATGAAACAAAAAAAATATATGGAAAAGAAAAACAAGACAGGAGGATAAATTAATAGTGATTTGTAATACAATTATTATTCAGTGACACAAACAAGTGACCACGTCTTGATTTTTTCAAATATTCGTATCGTTGTCGAGCTAATTTTTTTTGTTACTTTTCTATAAAAATGCCGTCCAAGCTTTAACCAAAACCATATAAATCACCGTTCCAAACTTTATACACATTTTAGGAAAATTCAAGAAATGTTCATCAAAAAAATTTAAATTTTGATGAAAATTTGTATAAAGTTTGGAACTGTGATTTATATGGTTTTGGTTAAAGCTTAGAAGGTATTTTTGTAGAATAATAACAAAAAAAATTTGCTCGAAAAACATTACAAATATTAAATTTCAAAAATCAACACGTGGTCACTTGTTTAAGTCATTGTATCTTTTTAAAGGCACCAAAAGTATTCTTACGTTTTTGAAATGTTAACTTCCAGTATTACTTAACTTAAGTATTTGCTTTAAAGGAAGAGATTAGAAATGTATTTTCTTTAAGTAAACCATTTTTATTTGACTTTTAACGTTAGACTACACCCCGTGCAAAATTATAAACGCACTACATATTGAGTAGTCAAACTATTTATATTTTTGATATTTAATTATTGTTATTTTATATAAAACTATATTTCATTCTTTAACAAAATCCGAACGCTTCATTTAATAATTTAAAGCTTTCAAATTGGACTTAGAAAGATTTTGAGTATGCAGTTTTATGACCCATTCAATTAGTATAATAAAATGTAAGTTTGAAGTACTTAGGGCTTACCGTTGATTTTTGGAATTTTTTTTTTTGCTCATTTTCTTCTATATAAAAGGACATTGTATGGAAGGAAATGAACAACACCGTCAGCAAAAAAAATTCCACAAATCAACGGTAAGCCCCAGTACTTCAAGCTTACATTTTATTGTACTAATTGAATGGGCTACAAAGCTGCATACTCAAAATCTTATTAAGAAATCCAATTTGAAAGCTTTAAATTATTAAATGAAGCGTTCGGATTTTGTTAAAGAATGAAATATAGTTTTATATAAAATAACAATAATTAAATATCAAAAATATAAATAGTTTGACTACTCAATATGTAGTGCGTTTATAATTTTGCACGGGGTGTAGTCTAACGTTAAAAGTCAAATAAAAATGGTTTACTTAAAGAAAATACATTTCTAATCTCTTCCTTTAAAGCAAATACTTAAGTTAAGTAATACTGGAAGTTAACATTTCAAAAACGTAAGAATACTTTTGGTGCCTTTAAAAAGATACAATGACTTAAACAAGTGACCACGTGTTGATTTTTGAAATTTAATATTTGTAATGTTTTTCGAGCAAATTTTTTTTGTTATTATTCTACAAAAATACCTTCTAAGCTTTAACCAAAACCATATAAATCACAGTTCCAAACTTTATACAAATTTTCATCAAAATTTAAATTTTTTTGATGAACATTTCTTGAATTTTCCTAAAATGTGTATAAAGTTTGGAACGGTGATTTATATGGTTTTGGTTAAAGCTTGGACGGCATTTTTATAGAAAAGTAACAAAAAAAATTAGCTCGACAACGATACGAATATTTGAAAAAATCAAGACGTGGTCACTTGTTTGTGTCACTGAATAATAATTGTATTACAAATCACTATTAATTTATCCTCCTGTCTTGTTTTTCTTTTCCATATATTTTTTTTGTTTCATTCGGTGGTGACTCTTCTCCACAGCCTTTCGCACATCTTTTTCATACTCGAAGGCACCATGCAATTGAAAAACGCCTATATAAAAAAGAAAATTTATTTAAAAATTACTTCGACTTATTGTTATTAGCATTTTTTTACCCCTCAATACTTTTTCAAATAAAGTAAGTTTCGCCAGAGCTCGTTTGTCTCCCCTCCCGTCCCAGTTAAATGACTCAAGGAGATTGTCCGTAAGAATGTTTCGGATGACGCCATCCACATCCTGCGAAGTCCCCTTAAGCTTATGGCAATAAGTTGTCTGTGTAAAATAACCATACAGAAAAAATATATTAGTATTACATAGAAGTTATAAAGTTTATTATACGTATTATTTTTTACCGTAGCTTGCGCGAATTGAGGTTCTTTGAGTTTTTCCTCAATCTCGAACACAGATTCGACGGTATTCAAAGGCAGCATTCTTGCCACTTCGTCAAGCGCGTCATCTTTTTCTTCTCCAGTCATCAGACAGACTGATCGCTGGACGTTCTTTATTGCGACCTTGCATTCCCGCAACAAAGTGTTTTGAGCAAGCATTTCCGATTTATTGACGTACTGTTAAAAAGCACCAAAATTTAGCACCAAAATTCCAAATGATATTGTTTGCAACTTATGTTTATTTATTTATTTTCAATAATTTTCATTGC